GGTGACATCACAATAGGTTCACATGTGGTTGTTAGATGAAGTAAGTGCTATGGAAATTTTGATTATGCTGAATTATCCATGTAATCTTGAGTGATTTAACCCTTCCTTACTTCCTTGAATACCAATTCCAGTGGTGAAAGGCCCAAAGGTCACCTTGACAGTATAGTATTCCAAATCCCTTCACACGTCCACACTCTTCCAGCTGCTCTGACCCGGCCGTCTGAGCTTAACCAGGCTTACACTATGGACAGGTCAGATTTCAGCATTCCTGTCAACGTCCTCGTGAACAAACAATGACATTTTTTCTTTTTATCTGGTTCTCTGTAGGCAAGCTGTGGAGGAGGCGCACGGTGATCCAGGCTCCCCAGGGTGACGGGAGGCCTTGTCCGTCCCAGATGGAGCAGTGGAAGCCCTGCCTGGTGAAGCCCTGCTACAGCTGGAGATACAGCGCCTGGTCTGAGTGCAAATCTGAGGTCAGTCTCCATCCTGACATCTGTGAAAACACAGGTTTTGTCCAGGACCACATCAGGTTTGGCCAATATTGTCTGAGTAGCTTTACTACAATAATGGGACAGTTATATTTTTTGTTTAATCACCAGCAATGTTTGTTAAAAAATGAGACAGTAATTTGGGTCTCCCAGTCCCTCCTTTCTGCAGTAAACAGAAATAAATTTTCAGGTATCCCGTTTCCACTTTATCCAATCAGCCACAAGAGGCAGTTTTTAAAGGCAGGAAAGAGGTGGGGAGGAGGCAGGGACTGTGATTTCACTTACAGCACCTTTAAGATGGCAGTATTTTTTTTTTTTTTTTTTTTTTTTCATATTTGCTGAAACTCTATATCCTGACAGTAGTGAGACGGATAACCTGTGAAAAAATCAGGTTCCTCTGTCTCCTCCTAGTGCTCCTACTGGTATTTTAAGAATCTATCAGGCCTGAACGAAAACAACCAATCAGCGGTGAGAAAGATAGTTGATTGTTGAGTCTCATTCCCAGGGCGTCAAATATCAACACTGGGAATGAGACTCAACAATCAACTATCTTTCTCACCGCTGATTGGTTGTTTTGGTTGTTTGGTGTTTTCTCATGTACTACAAATATGACAAAAGGTTATTTTCATAAAAGTTAACTACTGCAGCTTTATCTCATTACAAACAGGAGTCCAAAAAATATCAATATTTGTGTTAATTTTTAATATCTCATACAGATCAGCGGACCCAGCTAGATTTTTACTACCCTACTATATACGCAGGGTTTCTACACAGTATTTTTCTAAAATATATAAGCAGCCAAAATTATTAACCACTGTGAGAGAGGGCACAGGCCAAAGTGATCTTGAAGGAAACCTATATGGCTGCATTCATCGTCGTTTCCATGGACACCGTGAATAAACAAGGCTGCACAGATGCCAGAGAAATTTAATTATTTAACTTTTTCAACAATTTTTTAGTTCATAATTATAAAAGAGAGTAAAATATTATTATTATGTCACTTTTTAGGGCAAGGTCACTTTGATACACATGACCTTTGATAAATCCAAATTTATTGGAGCATTTCTGACAAAATGGGCCAAAACTTCCCAACAGAATATAATAATAATAGCTCAATCTCAATACAGCAGTAAAATGCAACTTTAATGCAGCAGTAATATAAATTCAAAAACATCATATATATTAGTAAAACACTGACAGGGAACATTGTATAGCGCAGTTATTCCTTTAGGTAAATTCTGCTTTAAGACTTTAAAATATCTTTTCTTGGTATCTTATATTTTTCTATTTTATTTTGTTATTTATTGTGTATTTCTTTCTCTCTGCTATGTTGTGTCTGGAGCTGCTGCAACAAGTGAATTTCCCCAGTGTGGGATCAATAAAGTCTATCTTAAGTCTTATCTTATCTTTACCTTAGTAAGGTTAAGAATGCAGTATTTTCACACTGGGGTTGTTATTAGTGCTTTTACTTCATGGACTTGAATACTTCCTCCACCTAACTGCACTGTGTATCATCATCATCATCCTTACTTTTTAAGAAAGGTGGGCTTGTGGGTAACCTGAGTGTGTGATACAGTCATTGTGTTTTCCCACATAGAGCTTTACCAGTTTAAGGGTGAAAAATGTTAAGTTTGTGATCAGAGAGGTGCTGGAGGAAAGAAGATCATTAAAATCCCCCCAAAAATCACAAACTGATTCAGCAAAGATGATGACATCCCCCATCTCTTTTCATTTTTCTCTCTTCTCCTTTAAATCCATCTTTTCTCTCTGTGATCTCTCACTAGTTTGTCCTCTTGTTCTCCCTGTTCTCCACTTTTAACACTGCTAATTTGAAAAAATAAATTCTTTGCCTGAAGCATCTTATTAATAGACTGGAATAGAATGTTGCTGGACTTCTGAGAAAATAAATTTCACTTGTTTTTTTGCTTTGTTTTTTCACCACGAACATCAGCTCATCACCGATAGTTGCTGTTTTTTCCTGACCAAAAATCAATCACACAGAACCAAGGAAA